CGGGGTGGTGATGTTTTTCAGGTATTTGTTTGAGTTATTCTTGGCAGCTGGTGCACAGTTATATTCCAACGCATGTATGATTTGAGGTACTTTGTTTCTTTATCTAATTGTTCTTGGGCTCTATCTATTGATCTCAGGGTTTCAGGCTACATGATGACGGAGAAACTGGAGATACCTCGTAGAAGAGTTAAAAAAGATTGGTATGTTGGCCTGAAACAAGACCCTGTGGATCGTTCTCATCCTGATGTCCATGATGATGAACTTATCAGGGATGCGGCTGAGAAGAATTCAGTGTCCAGTAAGTCCATCCTACTCTTAAAGTACTCTCTGCTGTACTTGGGGTCATTTCTAGGAACAAATCTTGCAAAGAAGACTTGTTAATGCATGCTGCAACTTCCTTCGAACTGGACCGACTAATTGTAGTTAGTCCATTTCATAGATTGAATTGGCTTGACAGTTATCTGAACTTCTCTGACCATTTGCGTCGAAGCAGTTGGGAATAGTATTTTGAGTGCATGAAGGAAGCTTTTCACTGTTGCTTGATATCTCTCGGACTATAGAGGTTTCCCATCTATTACTCTTGATATTGGGCTTAAGGATTAGAGCAACCATCTGGGGCTTGGTGTGTCTGCTGTTGCTTTTATGTAGAGTTTGTTATGAGATTTTTTGGATGCTAATTTGCAGAAACAACTGGAGGTACTCATGAAAACACGCCTGTTACAACCACTCCAGTTACTAAATCAGCAGAAAACCAACCTCCAAGAAATGAAAGTGTATCTGTAGCAAACACGACGGTTACTAGTTCAGAGGCCAATAATCCTAAAGCCGAAGGAAGTACTCTTGGACAAGCAAATGATACAGAATCGTTAACTGTGGAGACTAACCCTCCTGCAAATGGGAGTGCATTGGATGCAAACAATACTGTCCCTATATCAATTGCAAACAACCTTCAAGCTAATACATCCAATCAGGAGACTGTACGTGTAAGGATTGCTGAATCAGTCTTCAAAATGCCTATAAGGCCAGATAATAATTCTGGGAATGCTGAGGCTACAAGATCGGGCGATGCAGATAATAAAACAAGCTCTGGGCGGCGTCTTCTCGAAGATAATGATTCAAAGGTTTCAGATTCAGGGAATGGAAAGAATACTAGTGATGACCTTCATGTGGCAACTGTGGAGAATGATGAAGGGTTGGAAGCAGATGCTGATTCGTCATTTGAGTTGTTCCGTGACACTGATGAGCTGGCTGATGAATACAATTACGACTATGATGATTATGTTGATGAATCTATGTGGGGAGATGAGGAGTGGAGTGAAGGACAACATGAGAAACTAGAAGACTATGTCAATGTTGATGCCCATATATTGTCCACTCCTGTCAGTATTTTCACCTGGACTATAAGTTCTCTTTATTTCTCGATTGGAAGTCTTCTTCATTGATGCAAATGAAATGAGGTTACAGACTCGGCTGAAATTCTCACTCGCTTCTTCTGTTCAGGTTATAGCAGACATTGATAAGGATGGGGTTTCAGAGATGATTGTTGCAGTGTCGTACTTCTTTGATCATGAGTGAGTTTTCGTACATGATATTGCATACGTTTTAACCATATTTCTTTCTGTTACTGCTTTTGCATAATGATTCCAGTTTGGCCACTTTTTTTTAACTTCATTTGATGTATCATATCATTTCCGCTAGTGTCTCTTACGAGTTTTATGCCTGGCAGGTACTATGACAATCCAGAGCATTTAAAGGAACTAGGAGGGATTGATATCGCAAAGTATGTTGCTGGCTCAATAGTGGTTTTTAATCTTGACACAAAGCAAATTAAGTGGACAAGAGAACTAGATTTAAGTACAGATAGTGCCGACTTCCGTGCATATATATATTCCACACCTACTGTAGCTGATCTGGATGGCGATGGCTATCTGGACATTCTCGTTGGAACTTCATTTGGCTTGTTTTACATCCTGGATCACCGCGGTAAATTCTTAATCTTTTCCACTTTAATTCATTGCCCATTTGTTATCCTTACGATGACATTCCAAGAAAGGTTTCTGTATTTTTACTTGCTCATCTGCTATTTGGTCTAATTCGTTATATCCATTGCAATATAACCAGGCAACGTTAGAGAAAAGTTTCCACTTGAAATGGCAGAAATTCAAGGAGGAGTAGTTGCTGCTGATATAAATGATGATGGTAAAATTGAACTGGTGACCACTGACACACATGGAAATATTGCTGCATGGACTCCCCAAGGAGTAGAAATTTGGGAGATTCATCTCAAGAGTCTTGTTTCCCAGGTCAGTCTTTGAATTTGAGATTAAGTGTGATATACCAAGATTGAAATTTCCCACTGAGTTTGAAGATCTTTGAGTGGGTTGATAGCAATATTGGAGTTAATTTTTTTAACGTTTAATTATGGAATGACTTGAACTTCTGTGATCACCCCATATTAGGCTCATACACATTCAAGCATGAGTTTGAAGCACTGGAGCGATTATTAACATCAGAGCAATCTAACATTATAATGTTTTTCAGCAACCAACTGTAGGCGATGTCGATGGTGATGGGCACACTGATGTGGTGGTTCCAACACTCTCAGGAAACATATATGTCCTTAGTGGCAAAGATGGTTCAATTGTCCGCCCTTACCCATACAGAACTCATGGGAGAGTGACCAATCAAGTCCTTCTCATCGATCTTAGTAAACGAGGGGAGAAAAGCAGAGGGCTTAGTTTAGTGACCACCTCATTTGATGGTTACTTGTATCTTATAGATGGACCTACCTCCTGTGCGGACGTTGTTGACATTGGAGAAACTTCGTAAGCCACAATTTTTTTATGTCTTTCCCATTGTTGCTTATCCCTAAGAGCATATATAGTAACGTCCAGATTAAATTTTGTGTGCAGGTATAGCATGGTTTTGGCTGACAATGTAGATGGTGGAGATGATCTGGACCTGATCGTCACAACCATGAACGGGAATGTGTTTTGCTTCTCCACTCCATCTCCGCATCATCCCCTGAAGGTAGTACAGAAATGAACTTATCTATCTTCAGTGACAATGCTATGGCTGTGTTTTTTGTCCTGCTATTGCTTAAAGAAAAGTGTTTTTCTTTTTCGAGTTACAGGAGCAGTGGAAAAAAGTGTGTTTAGTAAGGATTTAGAAAAAGAGTGGCAGATTTCTGTTTCTCATATTTATCGGGAGGGTAATAAGTGTGCTAACTTCCTTGCTAGCAGGCTACATTTGGTGCCTTTGGGCTTCCATGGGATTTCTAGTTCTGATCCTTCCCTTAACTATTGCTGAAGTATGCTTTTCAGGGAAAATTGAGCCTTGGTTGTTTTTCAGCGGAGGCTAGGACGCACTACGTCTAATTATTAAAAAGAAAAAAAAAGGGGAAAATAGAGCTCTTGAACTATGATATATTTTTCAGTCATAAAGGAATTGGAAACAACTGGGCATAACATTAAGAATGGATTCTCATTTCAATTGGGCTTAGATGGAGTCGAACCTTTTCCAGTGAGGTGGCTTTTAATGTTTGACAATCCATTATGTTCATAATGAGTAATTGTATAAAGATTTGAGATTGAAAAAAGTGTGTGCTTCTTTCAACTTATAGCTCACGTTTTCTTAAACCTGACTTTTTCTATAAGCTGGACTGCTGGAGCAAGCACAGCCACTATACTTTCACCCCTGATTTCAATTGTGCAATTTTTTTCAGGCCTGGAGATCTCCTAATCAAGGACGGAACAATCTGGCCAACCGCTACAATCGTGAAGGGGTCTTCATCTCACATTCTTCGAGAGCTTTCCGAGACGAAGAAGGAAAGAGCTTCTGGGTGGAGATCGAGATAGTAGATAAACACAGGTTTCCCTCTGGATCTCAAGCACCCTACAATATCACTGTAAGTTATTCCCCACCTTCCTTCCACAAACTAAAACCACCCCATTCTAGATGACTTTAACCAACTATTTGTCTCCTCTCAAAAAAATGGTAGACAACACTATTAGTTCCAGGCAACTATCAAGGTGACAGAAGGATAACACAATCTCAGATCTATGACCAACCCGGGAAGTACCGTATAAAGCTTCCTACAGTTGGAGTCAGGACGACCGGAACAGTGGTGGTGGAGATGGTGGACAAGAACGGACTATATTTCACCGACGACTTCTCTCTGACTTTCCATATGTATTACTACAGAATGCTGAAATGGCTGGTCGTCCTCCCAATGCTTGGCATGTTTGGCATTCTGGTCATTCTTCGTCCCCAGGAAGCTAGGCCTTTGCCCTCTTTCTCTCGGAATACCGACCTATGAGTGGGGAGATATCATTTATACGGCATCAAAGTCGGTCTGTCAACTAGTTGAAAAGGGCACTGAATCTCGGGTCAAGAGGTGTCTGAATCGGCTGAAATGAAATCATTCGAGGTACATGGAAGAGAAGGGGTTTTGATTCGAAGATGGAAAACCGAGAGAAAGCTTGAAACATGACAGAACTTTGGGGTCATTGGATTAGAGTTTTTGATTGAGGACTGAAGTACTGAACATTGTAACATAGTACTCTTGGATTCGATGTCGGATTTTGATTTTTTTTTTTTTGGTATCAAAAGAATACTGGGAAAGGGTTAGATAGAGTAGAAGACTATTGGAATCACATTTATACGGAGACTGATGTTTAAATCTACCTTCGACTTCCAAGTCTAGCAACGGGCGGTAACTGGGAGTGAAAGTTCACTTCAGTCCTGACGAACGGCTGTTTGTATGTTTACCGAATTCAGAGATCTCGTGTTCGAATTTAATCATACTCTAATTTGTTTTCTACAATCTCAGTAATGTTTCTTTGTTACACGCGTACAGTCGCAAATCATATTCTACAATCCCTTGTCAATAAGGCAAGTTCTTCTACTGTCTCCTGGTGTTACTGCTGGAGCATCCATCACCCTTCCCTTCAATGATCATATACCAAAGTTACGACCGAGCACACAAGAGAAGAGAAGAGAAGAGCTTAGCTTCTTTACTAGCTAGCTGCCAGTTTTACCATGTAACTATAATACTTGTTTACAAAATAAAACACCTCCGATCGAGCTCATGGGAGAATCAGAAATCACAGCAATTCACAAATTTCTGAAAGTAAACGAATTATCTGTTTATGATCGAGACAAGACATCTTTACAAAAGGAAGAAGAAGAGACAGAGACAGACAGACAGTCCATTAGCAACCTGAAGCCGATTGCTTGCTTGTGTGGTTATTGAATCGCTAGAGCAAAGCAAACCCACTGAAGGAAGAAAAAAAAACATTAAAAAAGGAGGTGAAAGGGAGATGAATTATCATATCAAATCATCAATAGGTCTGTAAGACGGGGCGCTTGCCGAGGCGCTTGATCTCCTTATCCATCCCGCCGGTGAGCATCAAGCCGAACATCTTGTAATCGCAAAGCAGGGACCAAAGCGGGTGCCCGAACGTCGCCGGCACGTTCCGCTCCACGAAGAAATGGCTGTACCAGGCGAACCCGTAGCCGATTACCGGCACCAGAGACAAAACCCACCAGTTGAAACACAGGGCGTAGAGCAAAGTGACCAAGCTCAGCAGAGTCCCCACGAAGTGCCATCGCCTGGTCCACGGCTTCGAGTGCTGGCTCATGTAGAACCCCCAGAACTCGTCCATGCTCCTGAAATTCATTCTCGCCCTCCCCCGCCGCCTGCGTTTGACTTTCCGAGACTGCCAAGATTTGGGTTTCAGAAATTGAGATAGAATTATTTGTTTCTTGGAAGGAGGCTCTGGATTGGAGTTTGTGTATTTTTCAGAGCGGAAGAATTAGGAGGATGATGACAAAGCGATGAAACAATAAGCGAAGGTCGAGGATAACGAGGGGATTGGGATTGGGGTTGGGGTAGAACAGTAAGTAAGTTTTTAATTGGATTGAGAAAACAAAGTAGGTGGTTTTTTTAAAATTTCATTCTTTACATTTTTTGCTATTTGTTGTGTGACTTGTGTCTAATATTTTTTTTTTTTTTCAAAGTCAGTGTTGAAAAGATAGTCACAAGGAGAAAGAAAGAAAAGCGCGGGAGTCGACCAATAATCGAACTCCCGATGAGAGGGCCTTTAGTGCCACATGATGGGCAGCCCTATAAAGTCGACGAAAAACAAAGCAATAAGAAATCAGCTGAAGTGAGAAGCTAAGCTCCGAGCATCCTCCAGAAGAGCTCCACCCCGATCATGCGCCAAATCGCCTCCCACCATCCCGTCGTATCAATTGTTGTGAATCCTCATGAAATTTGACAGAGACAAAGGAATGTGTCAGGCACCACTGTATGACCTCCAGTATAACAAATGAATCGTGTAATCCTTCATAACACTTTCCGAAAGCAAAGAGAATATTACCTGACGATTGAAAACCCACAAAGCCAATACTACCTTCGTAACTATGCTTGACCACACCATCAAACTAAACATTAATAGTGTTCAAGGGGTTCCTTTAGGGCGCCATTTCCAAGTGCTCCATCAAATCTCATCAAAAGGCCACCTAGTGAACAAGACAGCCGTCACCGATCGACTACTGTGCAATTGAATCTTCACCTGCAAAATGAGCAAACAAAGGCCCCTACTAGCACAATCCAGGCCAAAGGGCCAACAAGTCAACATAGACACAAGGCAGCAATTCGCCTTTGAAATAGAGAACTAGGTCGTCGGGAAACACTAGATAACCGGCACCACCCGTTACAAACCTAAACCTTCTTTCTTTTCTTCTTTCTTTCTTTCTTTCTTTCTTTCTTTTTCTTTTTAATAAAAGGAAACAACCTAAATTTCGGGGACCTACCAATTTGCAAGTATTTAATAATAAAAAGAAGGCAATAGATTTGTACGAGAAATATGAAAAATAATGGAAAGAATAATTAAAAACAAATAAAGTAAGAATGATAATTATTAAGCGAACGGAATTAATAATAATAATAATAATAATAATAATAAAGAAATAAATAAATGATAAGGGAGTACTTATCTGAAACGTAACTGTCACCTCGTTGGTGATTGTAATCGACGCATTCACAAGAGACCGTCAGTCTCCCCGCGTCGAACCAGATTTTACCGGACGGCCGAGTGATCATCGTCGGCGCTACGCGATGGACATGCGGCGGCGGGCAGGCTTGAAGCAGTCCGGGCAGCGGATCAAACCGTTGACGTTGCACGCGGTGCAGCTTCGGAACCCGTGCTTCTCCGAGTAGATCTTGTGGCTGCCGCTGCACTCCTCGCAAGGACGAATCTCAGCCCTCCGCACAGATCGCACTCGTTCGATGCCGCGACGGCCGTCGGCGGAAACAGCCCGGCGATGAACGACTACAACTCCCCACTCTCGTGGAGCTCTCTGATCTCGTCCAGCCCGACGATGCACCTCCCGCCGATGAGAACCACGGGAGCGTCACCTTACCGGAGGTTCCGAGGATCTCCTGCACCTCCCCTAGGTAAATGCCATCCATCGACAAATCTCGCTCGTCGACAAATCTCCTGTATCTCCTGTATCTCACTCGTCGACGGATCTTATTTTGTTGGCTTAATTATCATCCGCCTTGTGAACTTTTCAAACTTGTGTCTAATATTTCCTGTGAAAGGAAAGGAAAGGAAAATGGTTTGTTGTTTTCCCTTTGTACGGCTCTGGGTTATGCAACCATAAATAATCAAATCAAGACCCTTCATTTAGAAAATACAAATTTAAAAGTAGAGAATTATAAGTCATTTTTATTTTCTCTAGTTTTCTTAATCGGCTCATATTTTTTTCGTTTTAACTCGGATTTTAAATTATTTTTTCACAGATGGAACGAGTTCATCGTGTTCTACAAAATGAGATCAATTTTCAATATTTTTTGAGAAAAAAATTATGGCCTCTCGGTACCAACTGCATACCATATGGTATCTTCTTCGTTTTTAATTCGTTTTTGAAAACGTTTGCACAGAAGGGACGAGCTCATCATGATCTATTGGATCTACAAATTTATGGGTGAACAAATTACATGACCAAAAAATACCACACAATACCATACAATACCAGGGTGGTATCTTGTGGTACACAATGTTAAAAGTCGTAAATGACAGTTAATATACTTCTAATATCATGTATTCAACCATCCTACAGTCTTGGTTTGTTCATACCACCATGATACGCTTTTCAAACCATAGGTATGCTCTTATATCAATACCAATCAATACCATATGGTATAGATTGATAAAAAATGCCTCAATTTTTTTTGTTCGAAAAATATATCAAAGTGGATATAATTTTGAAGAGCACAATTAATCTGATCTAACAGTGCAAAAAAAAAAATTCGACTTCAAAAAGTGAGAAATCGTTCGTCAAAGATTAAGAAGGGGAAAATTAAAGGCTTTCCAGGAGAGAGAGGGATGCTGATGTCATGCTGATGTGGAAGAGTTACTCATGGTTACTCACCATAAGGTTACTGGCCTGATTCGTTCTCCCCCTTTGGACTGTCTCACGACGCGACATAAATTATGGAAAATTTGCCGACTTCTTCCATGTCTCACCATTCACCATACTCCTACTCCATGGGAATGGTATAGATCTACGAGGTAGAGGGGCATTTAGGGCTGCAAATGAACCGATCCGAGTTTTATCCCAATTTGAGCTCGACTCGTTAATAAATGAGTTGAGTCGAATAGAGTTCGAGCTAGCTTTCTTAATAAAATCTTGACACGTATTTGATCTATTCTTTTATACATGATACATGTGATTAATGTCAAGATTAAAATAACAATAATATGAGTTAAGTGTTCAATATTAACTAATATCATTTTATACTTTGTGGTATCAAACTATTTAGTTAATAAATTTTAACTAGTGAGATTATGTTATTTCATAGTCTCGAAGCAATCTATGAGTATTACATAATTTATTTTTAAAATTAAATAAGAAATATTTGCTAACGTAATCAACGTGTTAAACTTCATATAGCGTGAGATATATAATTTAACAATCCTATGAATTATCAAAGTCAAACACATATAGATCGATTCGCTCATAACTCGATAATCGAGTTGGCTCTCTAGCCAAATGTTGAGAGTTGAGACATCTCATGAGCTCTAAACGAGCCAACTCACGAATTGAGCTCAACAAGCCACCAAGTCGAGCTAGCTCGCGAGTTGCCGAAGACTAAGCTCAAACTCAGCTCATTAGTAAACGAGCCAAGTTTTGAATGAGATTTTCTCGAGTTGAACGCCGAGCCGCTCGCGAGCAGTTGGCTCATTTGCAGCCCTATGTGCATTCATTCAATTTCGTTTTTTCTTTAATGAATAGTGTTGTTGTACTTCGTAAAAAAATTTACTTGGCAACAAATCTTGTCATCTAGGTTTGAAAATTTCAAACTATCAACAATTACATTTCCGTATGAGCACAACCCAATTGACCTACAACTCCATTTATGCACAACCCGACTAACCCAATTTCGATTGACCCGTAACTTGATTAAACATGTAATTTTTTTGATTCGAACCCGTATAACCAGTGACCTACCCAATTGATCTAAATAATTTATGAATTACTATATTATATAATATATAGTCTTTCTGAAGTTCTTTTTCCTAAACCTTAATAAAACTATTTTTATTTCGTAAAGGAAAGTTCAAAATATAAAATTTACTTGAGATGATGTACTTTTAATAAAATTAGAAAAATTTAAACATGAAGTTCACTTGAGCATTAGTTTCTGTAACAAAATTACAAAAATACGAAATATAAAATAAGCACAATCTCGATATTGATAATGGATAGTTAACAATTTGAGACAATGTATAACATGTATATTGTTAGGGGTGATGACTATCTTGCCGCGCTAGCCAGAAGTGATTTCTACCTAAGCGCGCTAGCACCGCCATTAAACTGTCCGCGTAACACTTGCGCACTGCCCCTGGCAATGCGTTAGCCTATACACATGCGCGGCTATGTGTATGCACAGGCGCGATCATACTTCCCTACTGCTAAAGAGTTACCTCGGGAACCTGCTCACCTGCACTGACACGCCAGTCTTGTCACATTAAATGTTCTCATACCTAGGTTGAGGCTTTAAATATGGCATTTACTCCACCAAGAAAAAAGGGATTTTCTCACTCCAAACAAATCTCTTGTAATTCCCATTCTCTCTCTACGACATCCTCTGTAACCCTCCTCTTATCGAATACAAGCAATCTCGTTCCCCATTTCATTTGTGTCTGTCTCCTACTTACTATCCTTACACTAACAATTGGCGCCCACCGTAGGCTTAAAAAATGTCAAAAAATTCGATGACGACGGAGCAATAGTCCACGCACCAAAGCCCTTCGATAGAAGAAACAACCCCACTCAAAGCGACTACAAGCCATAGACTCTTCGACATGTCAAACGATCCAAATGTAACGAGGCTCTTCCCCTTGTCACATGAACTAAACATAGTGTTGATCAAGGAGGAAGAAATTGGTTTGTTCGCAAAAGACATTCGCCAACAAATGGAGCAGCAAAAGAAGGCCATTTTCGACATGCAAGACAAAATGAACCGGATGATTGCACTCATGAGTGCCAAGAAAACCCTGCCCAATCTCGAGCCAGCTGTGTTGGTCATGGCGGTCACTGGCCAAAAGTATTATACTCCAGATGGTCACGCATGGCCATGGCTGTCCGTGATCTCACTCCCAAAATGGTAGCGGGGCATCTCATGGAATCTACTAGCAACGCTGAGCTAAGGGGGTCACTGGCCAAGCGCCTGGTGTTATCCTCATCGGAACTAGAAGTGAAAGTGGAAAAGACAATTACTTTGGAGGAAACTTTAGGAGCCGGTTCCGTCCGGCGTTTTGAGAAAAGGAATGGAAGAGAGG